CTTCATGTGCATCAGTATAGTTCATTTGTATTTCTTCTTAGATTATTCTCTGCGATGCCAACGAAAAATTATCTATGACACAATTCATATGTATTTTTCTCTACTTGACAATACGTGAAATTTCTTTAGTGAGGCCAAAAAAAGAAAGATTTCTACCATTAACTGAAAAATCAGTCTAGTTGATTGAACCGACGCGGAGATATTTCGTTTTTTTTGTCGTAAATCTATTTATGGCCCATCTTATATATGTCATACATAAACTTTGATTTAAGAGTCAAATTCAAGATTTGTAAACAGTTACTGAATTTGTGTAAATATGACAAAAAAAGCTGATAGATTATGTAAGAAATCTTATAAAAATCACTATGATAAAGGTAATAGTAAGATATATCTTATGAACTTTATTTTCCCTTAACAAAAGTCTTTATGATATTTTAAGTTCCTACTGAATTTAAACTTTTTGAAATATATCAATCAAATTTTATTATAACAATTGTATACATCCCGAGGAAATAAAATTATTTACATTGATCGAAAGAAAAAAAGTAATAGAGAAACGAATATTTTTTTTTTTCGTTATTGTTTTGATAAATAAAATAACAATTCTGAGTGTTCTTGATTTCTCTATTCTATATACTTTTTTTTTTGTTTTTTATCAAACTAATAATAATAATAATAATAATACCTGATTTATATTTTTTGATGATACAACTGGTGGTGGTCCTAATAATGTTTCTCTTATTGTACTCAATCGTTGTGATCGTTGAAGAGCATCATTAAATTCTGCTAAAATTCTAGCTGATCTTTCATTAAATTGTTGTTCAACTTGTATGAATTGTATTTGTTGTCGACAAAAACGTTTCCATCGAATACTATGTAAAGTTTTAGCATATGTTAATGAAGATAATCTTTTTAAATAAAATGCTTGTAATAATAATGGTAAAGATTCAGGTGTATAATCACTATTCATTGATGTACATGTATTTAATTCATTTTGAAATTCATCACATAAAAGAACTACATCAGGAACAGTTCGAACATGTGAAAGACGTTCCAAATATAGACGACGTTCACGTCCTAAATGTCCAGGATCTTTTGGTATAAGATAAGAACTAAATGGACGAGTAAATGTAAGATTATATCTTAATTCATTATCTTCAATTTCTGCTTTAATTTCATTATATTCATGCAAAATTTGTTGTTCTATTTTTTCAAGTTGTGCTCTATCTTCTGTTTGAACCAAATGTGTATCAAGTTCATGTGTCCAAACTTGCATTGTTCTATGTTAAATAGATTACAAACCTTGAAAAAGTTCTACCAGAATATGTACTGCGTTTTTGATTACAAGATTCTCCTTTCTTCTTCTTCTCTCTTTTGTTCTATGTTTTTTTTAAATTTTCTTATTGTGCTCGTGGTTTATTCGATTCTTTAATGGACAGTAACAAAAAAAAAGAAATTCCTTTTTTTTTCTTCCGTTCTATTTTGCTGTTACAAATATCGTTCATGATTTTTCTTTTCTTTAGTTTTTTTTTGGTATACGAAGAAAGCAAAAAATAAAAATAGAACAATAGAGTTAATAAGAACGGGGAAAAAAAACCGATGACGACGATATGCACACACACACACACACAATCATCGTCTCTAGTAAACATTATTTAAAATGTTTGAAAAATTCTAACAACTATAACTAAACAACGACGAAAGAGAAGAAAGATCGACATGGTAACGATAAGCAAAAGAACAGAAAAAAAAAAAGACAACATTGCTTTGAAAAACAGAAAACTTCTAAGATCACATAGCATTAATTAAGAAAGTGTTGAAATCAAATTTTATTCTTCTCATTCGTCTCGTATTACATTTCTTTTTTTTTTTCTTCATATTATAATTATGAATCGATATATCATTTAAGTTCAAATATTTATGTAGATTAAACATAGAAAGATGATATGCAAATTCGAATTTGATTTGTAAGTGAATCATAAACAATGTAATCAGATTTTGAAGTCCTAATCAACGGTACATTTCTATGATTAAACAATCAATATCAATAATCTAGAAAAAGAGAAATAGTTCTAATGTAATAGATATAATTTCAGTTTAATTGTACTTTTATTTTTGTTCAAACACTTATTGCCGGATATTTTAAGTTTAATAAATGTACTTAAGTATTGTAACTACCTATTGATTCAAACCGGAGAAAAAATATCGGTAATTTGATACTCAAACGATCGGCTATGTTCTGACTGCTATTTTATCGCAGTTTACTGACAGGTGTTCTCCAATCGATAATTTCCTGCCAATATGCTTGCGGTAGTGTGAACAACATGCAACATGGGTAGGGACTGTAGCTTTTTGTCTTATGTGGGAGCCGAGGGGGTGGCGTTTCTCTGAAGATCGGATTAGTGCTCCCAGAGTTTATGATTATTATAAAACATAATATGTGTCTGTAGTAGGCAGTCGTCCTCTCGGAGTCTGGAATCATCCTTTCGGAAGAGAAAATATTGATAATAATTGATACTGTTCGACTTCTCGTTTGATTTTTCAAACTATCTCATCTCGAAATATTTTCGAATAGTCTCGTAAAGTCTCCGTTTGTTCTTTTAAATGAAGAAAAAAAATATATATAAAGATTTCGTTTTGTTAAAGAAAAGTGCATTTTTATTATACGATCAATAAATCAGATGTATTCATATAGATGATTATTAGACAAAGTAACTATTTTCGGATGTGTATATATTATTGGCAACACAATACCGATCGATGAATATATTAAAATAAATAATTTTCTATTTAACAAATGCAATGTTCGAATATTAAAAGTACGCAAAACACTAAATAAACGAGACAATGTGCCTAAAAGGCAGTAGAAGTGAAACCAATTTTGCATAGAATAATAACGAAAGTAACTTTCAAAGAATCCTAAAATATTTTTCTATTTTCATATTATGTATTTTGTTAGACATAAGAAAGGTCCTTTTCATCTAACCTATCAAATATTTAAATATTGTTTTACAAAAAAAAAAAAAAAACAGAAAAGCTATTTCAACAGTAATATCATCTATAAAAATGTATTAGACTATTTGATATATGTAATTAATTAAAATATTTTCTGCATTATTTGTTAGTCATATGATGATGATTTTTACAGATGTATTCCAATGACAAACATGTTTACTTAAATAAAAAAGATAAATATAGGGAAAATGATGCGAATTAGAAATATCTCGTCAAGTATTTATTTTGATGCCAAAACTTCCCGCTAGTCAAAATTAGAGCCTGTCAGGTTCAACATTTTTGGATTCGAACTAGAGATATGCGAGATCAGGATGACGAGAAAAAATTTTTCCGAACGAGAACTAAAGATTATAGTTTAAATATTCTATGATTTTTAACAAATTAATGAGAACATAATTCAAGAATTGAAATGTGTAGGACAACGTTTTTTATAGTCCTGGTAAACCTAATGTGGTTCTGATTTCGATTTAAAGAAAATTGTAAGAGAATTTTTTCCGTGTCACATGTAAAATAGTTCTGCAATACTCGGTTTTTTTGATTTATTGAGTCGATGACTAGCATATTTTGGGTCATCTCTCTTGAACTATGTTCTGATTCATATGGTTTATAAGAGAAGTTGTTTAAAACCGTTGAATATTTCACTATAAACTTGAGTTCTAATCCCAGCAGACTTTTTTTTAAATGTGATACGAATAAATTCTGGAATAGTTTTCTCTAGACAAGAACTAAAAATAATTTGAATGAAATTTTTAGTTTAAGTCTGATAGTCGCTTCGAATTCTGGTACTAACACACCCCACTCATTTCTCACACAGTCTTGACAATGATCTGACAATAATCAAGTCATAATGGCTGTTACTTGTAGTGTATGATCTATTGCTTTGAAATCAATCCGACGGGCTCTAGTTAAGACAAACTATGAAGTAACGTAATTTATTCATCTTCCAGAGGGCTATCTAAGCAAACATTCAGATGGGAGAGTATTATATCTTACTAGCGAGGTTCCGTACATACTGCACGGTTGTTTTCTCCTTTAACGTATGACCTCAGACATTTAACTTTGCATCCGGTAACAGACATACAGACATTCAATATTATGTAGATGGATAGATAACCCTACTGCTTCATACTCTTATATCGCGCATACTTTATAGGCTATATAGCCTTCGCTTTTATAGTCTTATATCCCTTGAGGACCTCTGAGTATCCCCATAGGATAGCTCTTGAAGACCTGTGAATACCTCCACAGGATAGTTCTTGACGACCTATGGGTACCCCCCCCCCCTCCATAGGATAGGCCTTGGGACCTTTCCCTTATAGCCTTATTTGACCTTTGACCCGGCTCAGAGAAATATACACACACTGAACATTATATATATAGATAATTAAGGTAAGATAGAATACCAAAAAAATACACACGTTTTTCCTGAAAAGTTCTATCATTATTCGGTTTAAGATACGTTCACAGGAATTCCGCATGTGTGGATGTTAGCCATTTCAGATAAAATAGGATATGCTTACATTTCACTTGACTTTGATTATTTTTATGACAAAGTTCTTTTCGCATAGACAGATATAAAAATGTTTACTCTTTATCTCGACTATATATTAAAAAGTAATTGGCAAATATCTCTCTAACTATACGAGAAGAAATCCGAAAACTTCAGAATACACTCTATGGCATGAATTGTATCTATGGTGAAAAATTCAGTCAGATTGAACTCCAAAAAAAAACATCCTTTTACAAATCGATTTTGCTAGATCGGAAATGTTTTGTCTATACATTATTCTGATCGTTATTTTTATCTTTTTAGTTTACAGAAAAGTCAATATAACAACATATAAAATGCGGCAACAAAATATATACATAGAAAAAAATTGCAACAAGTAAACAATGAGAAGTCAATATGAGAAAAATATAACATGAAAAAAAGTTTATCTATTTTTATATTCTAGATGTATTGACTTTGATTCGAATATTGATTTTTATCTTTCGAAACATACACGTTCAAGTAATATTATTGGTTGAGGATGTTTATTAGTTAAAATTTGTTCAATTAATTGATTCTTATCGATTGTTATTTTCTTTTGATAACTATCACCTTTTTCATGTATACTTCGATTAAGAGAAATATATGATGAATTTGCTAAAAGAAAACAAAATGCTCTGTTTTTTTTTCTTTTCAAAATTCATTAAATAAATTACATACATAAATTTGAATCTATTTCAAATACATCAGGAGAATTTATTTTATGATTAATTTGTGGTACTTCTTGTTGTATTGGTTTATTTTGAATATCTTTCAATATTGTTTGTCTAAGAAAAGATAATGATAATATTTTTTTTCTATTTTAAAAATGAAATCATTAATTTACATTTCATTATTATTTTCTTGGCTTTGTTTTTTGAATAGTGGTGTTAATAAAATTTCATTATATTGTTGTAGAGTTTTATACATTGTAGAAGATGGTGGAAGTGAAGGTGATAATTGAGTTTGAATACTAATAAAATAAATATAATTTATATTTTATTTAAAAGAATAAAAATCAATCACTAGAATCATTATCTATTCTCTAGTTTATCTTAAAGATTCATTGATTTGAAATACAATTCTCTTTAGGTTAAATTATTCTATCCGTATGAGGAAACATATCCAATTGATAAATCACTTTTGAACCGAAACCTTGTGAACAATAGATAATTGACCATACTAAATCCAAATATCAGTGTCTCCTGAAACTCTGAAAAAACGAGTTACTACAGCGAATACTTTTTTGGTCTGTCCAGATTGTAGAGAGCATCAGGCAACAACTTGTTAGTTTTTTTTTTGTAATCTACACCACTGAGTCTTTATGTATGCATATATATGTTTATTTTATTAATTTTCATGTTATGTAAATTTCTTTATTGTAAATCGATGTCATAGAATTCACCTTTCATTTATCAGATAATCGAAATATTTCTGTCTCAAGAAAAGAACTTTTCTTCAGTCATATTATTTTTGCAGAAACGATGTTGTTTAAAAAGTTGTGCTTACATCGATAAATTCAATAAGCAAAATTAGGAATGATGATTTTTTACTCATATCAAATCACCTGCAATCAATGAAACAAAGCTTTTTATACACAATTTCATACGTCTCAAAAATCTAGACAGATAAACAAAAATATTTTGACAGAAAAAAAGTTTTCACTGCCATAGACCCACTTTTGAGAGCGTCGGATCTCTGAAGATCTAGCAGTGCGTGGAACCCTAGTCTTCGTATTTATTAGAACATTATAAATTTTAATTTTCAATTGAATTTTATCTTGTCTATCAGATAGGAATAAAATACTAACTGAATAGATTGATATTGTTGATTAACATTTGTTGGTTTTTGAGATTGAACATTTGGAGAGAAGAATAAATAATCTTGACTACTAGAATCCTTTAAAAATAGAATATTAATTTTAAAAAGTTATTAAATGAATGTTTTTTTTTACAGAGGATTGCACAATCATTGATCGTCTTTTTGGTTGATGTCGAAATTCTGATGATGATGATGAAGAAGAATAAGAACTAGATCGATAACGATGTTTAAATTTTGATTGATGATCATTTTTTCTCGGATTCATTATATGAACAATTTTTGTTGAATTTATTGATTTAGTTAATAATGTTAAATGTTTCTGACATGTATTTATATTTGATAAATTTGGTAAAATTGAACAAATTAAACAACAATTTTCTCTTGATATTTCACTATTTTCATCACTCGATATTTCTGAATCAGTCGATAATAAATTTATAGTTGATATGTTTCTATTATCTGATATTGATGATATGTCTGTTTCTGAATCATTCAATAGATCTTGATTTTTATCATCGAATATATTTTTTAATTTAGATGAACGATTCATTATTTATTAAAAAAAAATTAAAAAAAATGAAATATCTAACGTTTATTATGGTTTTATGACTATTAGAAAGAAGAGAATGGTCTATTTATATAACCATTGAATTAATTTTTCTATTTTTCTAACACACTAATGCATTTGAAATAAAAACGAAGGCATTATTACTTAGCATTCTTATTCTATTGGTTATTTATATTTTCATCATTATTCTTCTCTTACTTTTGTTGTTTTTCTCTTTTAATATTAAGATACATGGCATTTTCTCTCACACCCAAGTAAAGTAGATAAGGATTAACTAAGACTATTCGTTATCTGAAAAGATATAGTGATTACCATCGTTCTATTAATATTTACTATCGATCGATTTATTTAAAGGTTTAAATTAATAATAATTAGTATTTATTAGAAATAAGTAGATCTTATGTAATAATATAGTATATATTAAGTAGATGAATCATAAATATTTTTCTTTTTTTTTTTTTTTTTTTTTATTCACTGCTATTTTCAGATAGGAAAGGAAGGTAGTAGAACATAAATAACATCAAAATGAATTCGAGAGGTGGAAGTGTATGTTATAAATGCAATCAAGTAAGTTAATTTGAAACTTATTAAACTATGTTTTTTTTTGTTTAATGATTTTATTCATTTTCTAGCCAGGTCATTTTGCTCGTGAATGTCCAGATGGTGATAGTAATAGTGGTAAAAAATTCCTTTATGAATATATATATATTAAAATGTTATTTGATCTTTTTTTTTTCTTAATAAGGTGGTGGTGGTGGTGGTCGAGGAGGATTCAGTGGTGGACGAGGTTTGCTCACGGGACAAATTTTTGAAATTTTGGTATCCAACCATTGAATTTATTTTCTAGGTTCGTACGGTGGTGGAAGTACGTTTAGAGGACGTGGATCATATGGTCAGTTATTGTCTTAAAAAAAGAAAAAATCTACTATTGATTTTGAATTTTTTAAGAAAACAAAAAAAAAAAAAAAAATTCTATTTGAAAATAATAATTCTATTTTAATAATTTTTTTTATTGTAGGTGGTCGCGGAGGTTTCAGCGGTGGTGGTGGTGGTGGTGGTGGTTCATTTGATAGACAAGGTGGTCGTTGGTAATAGATAAATAATCTAATATACAAAACAAAAAAAAAACGTTATATATTTCTTTATTAGTTATCGATGTAATCAAACAGGTCATCTTGCTCGTGATTGTCCAGCAGATAGTGGTCAAAGTGTTTGTTATAATTGCAATCAACCTGGTTTGTATATTGTAAATGATTAATATCATTTAAAAGGAAAGTTTTTTGTAGGTCATTTAAGTCGAGATTGTACAGAACCACGTTCAAATAATTTTGGTGGTGGCGGTGGTAGTGGTGGTTTTCGTGGTGGTCGTGGTATATAATGAATAATTTGTTGTTGTATTTTAATATATGAAAAATTTTTATTTGAAGGTGGTGGCGGCGGTGGCGGTGGCGGTGGCGGTGGTAATTGCTATCGATGTTCAAAATCAGGACATTTTGCACGTGATTGTCCAGAACCAGATCAACGTAGTGGTTCAAATCAACATGGTAGTGAAGGAGATTAGTTAGATAAACAATGAAAACATATATGTCATTTTATATGTATGAACAGTCTCCTATTTACCATCAAAACAGTGTTCATACAAAAACAACATATTATTGATTTTAATCAGTTTTGTTCATTTGTTTGTTAGTTTTTCTTTTTCTTCTTGTTCTTTTTTTTCTTTGATTTCGTTATTTATCTAACTAAGTTTGAATTTGGTTACAATATGGAAAGAGAGAAGAAAACATGAAATATATAAAAATATGGACTTGTTCATATATATATATATATTTTCTTTGTTTTGTTTTCTTTTTTATGTGTATCGTTTATTTTGTGTTGATTTGCTTATTGATTATCATTGTTCTACTCTTCAACAACTATTGATGTTCTTCTATGTACAACTTTATTGTTGTTATTGATTATTATGGAGAAAACAAGAAAATTTTGAAACATGCTAATAAAAGGCATATAAAAACAAAACTCTATCTATCTAAATTATTCGAAAATTCAATTTTTATGCAATAACGAAGTTTTTAAAACGAAAACTCTACACATATTATTATATGAATGGCAATAACAAAATAATACTTGTTATATATGCCTTATATCTTGACTCTTTGATATCACGAGTGTTTCAAATATCAGATCCATAAAAACACAGCATTCAAAGTTTTCTATTTGTAGACACATAATGCATAACAGTAAAACGATTACAAATGGAAAACCTTAATGGTATCACAAGAGAAAAGTCATTGTGCTAAGCTTGAGTGGCGTAATTAGCAAAAAAAAGTTATAGGAGGCTCGGTCCTCTGATAACGCATGTAGAGGAGGCGGTCAAAGTCTTCAGGAAGGAGGACCGAGCCCCCGTATGATTATACTACTATTGACGAGGGAACATCTCCAGATGTCAAAGCGCTTTTCGGTCGAGTCGATTTTCATTTTATGAGTAATAGAAATTCCGCTAGATTTTTCTACGAAAAGTTTTGGTCATGTAAACTATCGACGATCGACTTCACACTTTGCATGAACAAAGATCTCAGTGAGATTCATTCGTTAGACAAATTGTAGCTTTTCTAGTACTTCCTATTCTGAGATTCTCGAAAATGCAGATAACTATGCTAGAATTTTCTATTACTCATCAAATGAATGTCGTCTTGATTTGACACTTGGAGAGATTTTCTCGTGAGCTTTTAAGACAAGAACGATCTTCAAATAATTATTTGGGTAATTATACAACAATTTTTTTCATATTTAACAAAGATCATTATCTTATTTTATTTTATTTTCTTCAATATCCAACATTTTGTAAATCTATCCTCTTAATAGAACATAAAAAGGATTACTTCATAATAAATAAAAATATCAAATATCATTTTTTGTTTCAGATATCAAATCCTACTTAAGCATCTGTGTCAAAATTTTGATTATGTTTCTTATTTGATTTAAAAAAAAAATATAATTATTTTATACAATGAAATTTTCCAAAAAAAAAAATTGTTGATAAACAATCTCGATATTTTCTTTGAAATATTTATATGAATAACTTCATGAGAATACTCTATCAAACCTACATATTATGATAAAAAAAAACTAATCCAAAAGTAAATATTACGTATGAAGGAAGCCAATAACTTTTTCTTTTTTCAATTATTATATCATGAAATTAAAAATAAAGACAATTGATTAAATGACAGTAGAATTAAAATATAAATTAATACAATTTTATAAATCATCTAATATATAATTTAAACTTCTCTAACATATGAGATGTATTCAGCAAATTTGACCATAATTCTTTTATGTGGAATGATTATTAAAAATTTATTATTATGAAAATAATCTTTTAAAAATTATTTCCTTACGATCGTAAAGAAAATAATTGTTTTCTCGTACTCTCATACAAACACAGTTGAAACCATTCAATTTGTATTAATTTTTCGATGTCAATTCTTGTATATTTGATAGTTCCGAATATTTTGAATTGTATTTGTATAACAAAAAAAGCCATCATAAATGAGAGCAATTTCTCATTATGATCATTCGGATTGTCATATTTTAGTGAATGTTTGTTGAAATTAATGTGCAAATCATTTTTGACTTTCGATGATTTAATTTCAAATGATATATATGTACATCGACTAAGGTTCCATAAAGACGAATCCAAAAAATGTTTTTACATTCATCGATCTTTACTGTCAAAAAATACATTTTCTTTTTTGCTCTTGTTTGATTGAATTTAAAAGAAAAATTTTTAGATGAGTTCGGTTTGTCAATCATCTCTAATTCAGTTTATTTTTTATATTACTTAAATCTTTATAAATTTATTTGATAAATTTTTCCAATAACTAAGCATATATTTATTTAGATAAGACAATATATATATATATGTGTATATGATAATATGTATTTTTTTTATGTTGGAAATACATTGAATTTTTTACGAGAAAAAAATTGATTTGAATTTTTCTTACAAATTTCTTCTTTCTCATTTGCTTCATCTTTAATTTTACTATCGATACTTCGCGTAAACCAAACATATCGATTATTATTTTCTGATATATAAGATGCTGGCGATTGATTAAATTTTTTCTTGAAATTGGATGGATTATATATTCCACATACAATATTTAATAATATTAATAATATAAATAATTGTGTTGAAGACATTAGATTAGTTTTTAAACCTAAATTAAATTTGTTATGATTAATAAATTGCTATAAAAGTATGTTATTAAATAACAAACCAATTATTTTGCTTCCTATATACCAATAAAGATAAAGAAGTCAAATTGTCGCAACTATAAAATGAAAGATATAATAACTTTATTATTTAATAGGATTTCTACAGTAACTGAAACAAGCTAGATGTACTTTTGACGTTATTTCCCACTACGTCATCTGATATAATTATAATTACTTTTCGAACTCAAGACTTCGAAAAAAACCTTCAAAATACGATAAGATCTCATCCGTCATAAATATCTTTTTTCCCTATTGGAAAATAATAACAAATGAGTATATAATATATTAACATACAGGTGAATAGTCCGAAAAATTCTGCATTTTTTTAGGTTCCTTTTGGGCACAAAGCAATTTGAATTTTTCGAATTTCTTATTTGAACAGTCAAGGTTTTAGTAGCTTCTAATGTTTTTTTTTGCTTATTACAAAAGAATGATATGTAATTATTTTTTGAACTACATATGAATGAGATTTAGACAATATTCGCTATCATGTCATATACCAAAACAAACTCGTCTGATTAAATTTAACATAAGAAAAAAAAAACTGTATATGGATGATATTTGTTCTATTCAATTAAAATCCTAAATATCGATTTTGTCCTTATTTTCAAGATTCAATTGAATACATTTAATGTAGATTATCAATTGAATTTATATAGAGAATATTATTGATTTAGTTTTTATTAACTTACCACGATTGAATATTGAATATAATATAACCTAAGTTTATATTAATTAATATTGTTTTGGAAAAAAAAGGGAGATGATGATCTTATATAGCTTGAAATATAAATGTGAACTAATCTTGAATGCTAAAGATAGGAGAAAGAAAACAAGTAGAAGAAAAGAAAGATTATTATCAAAAAAAACATAAGAGAAATGTAATTATAATATATTCTTCAACTGCTCAATGTTCTTGGACATAGTCTTTTCAGACTCTTGTTTTTTTCTTGATCGATCAGTCAAGAGACTTTTTTTTTCTTGTCATTGAGTCTTGAAATTCAGACAATGTTCATTTTGAATAGGAAAGAAACAAGATTTTTTTACTTGAAGTTAAAAAAATCTCGTCTGATCGATCATGAAAATAGAAATCTGAAAAGAATTAAATAAGATTTCTTCAAGTTCAAATAAGCTTCTTATTTGATCTTCAAGACAAATGTCACGCAAATTTTTCTATATATACGTATTTGTTATTATACTCAATGTAACGAACAAAAGACATCATACTTAGATAATGTATAAGTTGCATGTTAATATCAAGTAAGTATAAATATTGTATAGAAAAAGAGAATTTATTGATCTATTAATAAATTTTATTGTAATTGATTTTAGAATGTTTTTCAAAAATAACATTATGAATACAAAGGATACTGACGATAAATGAAATCACTATTGATTTTAAGTAAACAATATAATGATAACGAATTGATAACTTCTTTTATTGATAAACATGATCAATTTAAAATATAATTATAAAAATTGGGTTTTTTTTTGTTACTTAAATGTTTTGCATTTTGTCTTATGCTATTCGAAATTTTATGACATGAGATGCACTGTGTTGTAGTCAATTTTTTTAAAGCTTAAAATGAAAATAAGCGCTCGTAATTTTTTTGCTGCTTGGAAAAGTTTGAAATCATTGATGTGTGACAAATATCACACTTGGTATCATTTAAAATATTCGCTATATTGTTATAATTGATCAAAAGAGTTCTTAATATTTTGAATAGACTACTCTCACTTGTATGATTTTTGAAGCAAATTAATTATACATGGATAAACAAAAATTTAATTCACTTTATCTTATGAGATTTATCTTCAAAAAGCAAGAGTACTTTTTTTGTGTATAATTTTAATTATCAGTTAGATTTAATTGATAGATCGCTTAAAAACTCAAGAAGTTGTTTTCATAGAATTAATAAAAATAATTTATGAAAAATAAAGACATCATATTGAGATAAATTACAACGGAAGGAAAACTTCAAGGATGCAACTCTTGACTATTGTCTCAGTGATGTAAAAATAAATTGTTTCACATAGTTATTCTGAGTCAAACAATCAATTATATTCATTAAATAATAGTTTTGTTAAGTTAAATTAACAATTTCTTCATTTTTTTCTTTTGTTTTTATTTTTCTTCATGAATGTGTAAATGTCCTTAAGGATGCTTCCTCCGCTTTTTTTGGTTATTTTTAGTTTTTAAAGAAAATAGAATGAACCTATATGACATTTTTACTACAGATACAGCATCTAAAATAAAGGAGATACATGTTCAAAGAAAATAATTTTAAACAAGATTTTGCCATAGGATTAGTTACAATTTCCGTCTAACTTTCTTCAATCGGGCTAAAAGTTTTATCTCAGAGATGGGTTTTAAGCTTGTTTATTTTTTACGGAAGAAATATGTAAAGATTCGGACTGAGTGCAGACATTCAGAGCACTACAAATCCGAATAGAAAGATTAAAAACGAAAACGGTCGATTATACCTATCGAGAATACTTTCAAGTATTCCTGGTCAAAATTTCAGTGTGATCGAACAAAGTTAGACAGGGATCGTAAGTGATCCTATGGAAAAACTGTGAAAAATTTGTTTAAAATTTTTCTCCAAACACGTATCTTCTTGTTTTAGGTGTTCTATGTGTAGTAAAAATTTCATGCGGATCCGTTGTGTCTTCTTCTAGAATTCCAAATGGTCAAAAAGAGAGGAATACTCTTAAAAGAAATTACTTTCCATATGATGATAAAATATCCATTTCTATTACAATTTTTTTTTTTTTGATATGACGAAATCAATTTTGTTTATGTGCATTGCCTCGTTCTTATACTTTGCAAGTCAATAACATAATGATTGTTTACACATACAATTTGATGCCGACTTTGTTAAATTCAATTTGAAAAATAAAAATCAATGATATTGTTCTACTATCGAAGATTTCTTTTTTATATGCCTGTATTTCAATATGATGAATAGTCCGACATATATTAACACATGCTGCATTTTATTGCAAATCGAATCGATGTTTTATGACCATATTTATACTGTGTCGTTAGCAGCTAAAAAATAAGATAAACCTAGGAGCTTAATTACAGTCGCCGAGACAGTCAAAAAAACAATACTGTATAGTGTCATTTCATCTAATTTGTGCTCGTAAATAACTGTAAATGGATGTTTGGCAGACGCAATATCACAACTGTCTTCTATTGTGCGCCATACAGTAGTTAATAACCGTCAAAAGGTCTCAAAAATCGAGTATCCAATCGTTGACAATACATTGAAAGACGGTCGTAATATTGCGCCTACTAAATGACGAGAAAAGAAAAAGACTGTACTTATTTGACACGGAAATATCTATAGATGTATTTTTGTCATGTATATATCATATTGTTATTGTATACGATCATTTTCATCTGTAGTATAGAATGATGTTTACTGTGCTTGTCAACAAGTCCTTCAGGACTAAATTTAGCAACTTTACATAATTGAGTTTACACCGCAAAGCGCCGTAAATATCTTTTGAGCGTCGTCCAGTAAATATAACATGCTATTAAGAGTACACTCGTTCATGACAACTATCATCGAATATTATGTATTAGACTTGGAATAGATAAAAAGTGAAATGTTACACAATTATGGAAGTACGAATAGGAAAAAATTTAAGTCTCAAATAGTCTGGCAAGAGATAAGTATTGAACCTTGGAGTGCTTACTTATTATGGAGAGAGTGTGGATGTGTGAAGTATTCGAAAAAACTAGAAATAACAGTAACTTCAACATTGATCATGCTTAAGTGTAACGTAAAGATATTTTTAAATGCTACACTTGATTGTGTCGGATAGAATTCAACGAAAACTATCGATTAATGTATAAAAGTTAATAGGGGCTTCACATTAATAAGAAATAAAGAAAGGATTTTCAAAGGCACAAAAAGAAAAATTAATGTTTTTACTACAATATGATTTTTAGAAAAATTAGGTGGAGAAAAAGTTTACCATCGCCAGAGAAAGCTCAACAAGAACTGTCGATTGTATATTATTATATAATAGCAAATTATGTATTTAACAAATTCCTAATAATATGACTTAAATACAACAATGATATACAAAGGTTTCAATAACTATAATCAATTGGATGAGTAACTTCGATCGACAAACTACGCAGTCTGTAGACGTCCGTGAACTATATACGTTCTGTATTCCTTCGTACATTGATGTATGTTACCATATTGCATGGTTCAATATGACAAATGTATATCACCGCGACCGTATACAGAATAAAACGATAATATATCAAGGAAAATGGAGTAAAAAGTGGATCGTATATGGATTTTGTGTACCAAGATAGTAAATGAACGTTTTTATCTTTGTAAATCACTGTATTTCTTCATATACGATATGAAGATAAACGATCGTAAGACTATACCATAAAGGTCATTGTATTTCTTCGCACATGATCGTTAATGAACGTAACTATTTGACATTAGTTGTTTCTAAGTGAGAAAAAGAGAAACGTGTTAAATTCATTAAATTTTTATTACATGTGCTATTTCATCAAAAAAAAAGGAGAGAAATTTGGTTTTTTTTTGGAAAGTCAAAATTGAGTTACACAAGTATTGTTTAGTTATAATTTGTAAATTCTAGTTTATGAAAATGATACTTATTTTTCGTTTATGTCGTTTCACACATTGCAAGGCTCTTTTCAATAGCTGTATCAATTATAAATCAACTGTATCTCTGCAAACAAAAGACTGTTCAAACCTTCTACCACATATTCATGTTTCTAGGAAATCTTCTTATTAAAAATTAAGATTTTTTTACTATATTTTTTGACCAAGAGTGTATCGAACAATTCACACTCTGTCCTGCATCTAACAACGCAAAAGTTCAAATTTTCGAAAAAACTCAACCATGTCTAAAAAATAACTTTGAATACAAATTCTGTAGCTTGAAAAGTCTTGTACCAAACATTAAAATACTTCTTCAATTCGCGTTTTTTCTAAATGGTAATACATACAATACATAAAAATCACTTCTAAAGAAGTTCAAAATCCAATGGATAAACACATTTTATTTTGCAAAGTCTTGTATACCACTAACAAATGAAATTACCCATATAAATATTATTAATTTTTTGTTTGTATTTGAAAAATCATTACAAATCACACAACAAAGTTATTTTCAATAGCCTGACTAAAATTCATAACTCTAATTGCTAGAGAAACTTTTTTAAAAAGAATATATACTCAATCACTTCATTCGTCAACATATCAAATATTCATGAGGCATATCAATACAATAACAAATTAATCTTCTCGTATATCGACATCATGTTTGACTTATAAAAATTAAGAGTATCAAGTTATTTGTATTTCATAATACAGTTCTTTATTAGGTTACGATAGGAAATAATATAAATTCTCGAGAATCTTTTAGTATGTTGTTTCAATAAGTATATCAAGTTAATTGTTTCTTTTGACTATCATATTATTACAAAAGAAAAACATTATTTATGATCTATGATGTTTTGTTTTTTTTTGTGTATATAATAAATAATATTTTTAATGAGATGTTGTTAGTCTTATTAATAAGTAAATTGTAAATGAATCGATCAAGATTGATTTACTTTCTTTTTATTATGGATAAAATTTAACATTACAACTTAAGAATATATATATATATATATGCGCAATAGAAAAGTTTTCTTTATCAATAAAATTCTCATT